AGGAGCGCAAACATAAAACCATGCCCTCTATTCAATATTCCGTTTCAGATGGAAATACGTCACTACACTGAAATAAAGTCGGCAGCAACTTCCGGTTCACGCGGACTTTAATGCACTGTATATAATAAATCTACAGAAATCAATTATTAAGCCACATCTTATTTGTTTACCATACAGAGTTTCAGTTTAACTTTCATCCGAGTTCCGTAGTGAATGTAGACATTTTATATTATTTTATGTTTATATGATTCAACTTAAGATCGCGTTGGAATGATTAACGCTTACTGTATCAACATAGCGTTAATCAAAAGCAGAGGTATTTAATGCAGACATTGATAAGGGCTATGTCATAGTCTGTGGCATGTCTGCAAAGGGCTATGGCAAATGATGTGAAGTGAGTCTTAACCACTCCAACACAATCTTAAGTAGAATAATATAAACATTAAATAATATCAAACGTCTACATTCACTATTATCCAGTCTCCGCTGTAGCTTCCGTGACCTAAATTCCCAGAATGCATTGCCGCTGTGACGACACATTCCCATTTGCGGTCCGACAGTGCGTTCCAGGAGTGGATCGTTTCCACACCGAGTCTATTGCTGCGCTGCAAGCGAAGAATTAAAATAACAGCGCATTGTTTGTAGTAAATATGAACATGGATTGACACGAAAATGTAGTAATTACATCATAAATGCATATTATTAAAGTCTACTGTGTTGAATAATGTGTTGCTTATATTTATTGTGTTAAAACAGGTCTGTAAAAGATTGTATTACTGTACTGTGTAAAAAAAGAATCACAATGCTGCACCGTCAGCACCGTCTATCGCGGCAAGCCTACTCTACAGTTGTTATTATTCTACCTGAATTAATTGAAACAATGTAAGAATTTGATGTGAAAGATGACACATACATTTAATAACGTTAGGAAAAAAAATTCCCATTTATAAACAGTGGGAAATTACATCTCTTTCGTTATACACAGCAACTCATTTCTACCTCTTTCCAGTCACAGAGCACATTATTTTGAGAGTTTAAGTGAGAGAGCATCTGTAACTTAGTCCAGATTGGGGGAAATTGTAATGTTTAATAATTTCTTTTATTATGTAAAGAAATTTTTGCATTGAAAAAAAAAGTTTTTTGTTTGTATATGCCGTCAATTATAATTCTTAGTAAGAAAAATTAGCAGGTCAAACTCACAAAAAAAAAATCATAATCAGTCAAGAAAATTGCAATCGGTGCATCTCTAGTTGGTTTTATCGCTATAGCAACAGCAATAAAAGACTGCATCATCTTATGACAGCACATCTGAGACAGTATATTGATAGGATGTCAGTTTATAGATCATACATGCCCTTTGACACACCTTCCAATTATCTTTGCTACACACAATCACAATCTAGTCAGATGTTAAACGTCACCAGTCACACACCTGTAAAAATGGAAATCACAGAACTTGAAAGATTACAATGGCAGCACAAACCCAAACATGTCATCATTCAGGAAACTACTCAAAGTGGATCAATTTTCACATTACGCAACTTCCATAATCTCACATGAGCTTTTTATGAACTAGATCAGGGGTTTCAAACTGGGGTCTTGGGACCCAAAAGGGAGTACAATGGAGGTCCATGGAACGGTTTAGAGAAATAAAGTGTAAAAAAACAAACAAACAAAAACATGTAAATATAAAGATTTTAAAAAATGTGAACTAAATTAGGCCTGTTACGATAACAACTTTTTGTTGTGCTATATTTTGCCCCAGAAATAATTGCGATAAGCGATATTATTGTCATTTTAAAGACCATTTTATGCCACTGAATATATAATCATAATGTAACAGCATAATAATGCAAGAAGGCCTACACACTTCCAAATGACAAC